GCCAGCGACAACACCAACAGACACAACCCCGCAGGACACGAGCGCAAGATCGTGGAGAAGCTCCAGAACAGCGAGAAGAAAGACAAGGAGTGAATATTGAGGTAAACTCAGGAAAACCCAGGAAAACTGTTTGTGTGTCAGTAACTGTGCGCCGAAGTAAAGCAGGAATGCTGTTTCAGTCAGAGCAAAGGCGTCTGACTCACACGAGTCCGTTTGCACTGACAGAGGCCATAAACACGTCAAAACGGGCAGATTTCTGAACGCTGTCTGGTCTGTGGCTGTTTGGAACGCTGGAACTGGGCAAATGAAACACCAGACGCGCCGCGTGCAGAACTTCCTTTACGATTCTTTGAATTTAAGCCTCTATCGCAGCACTTTTTCTGCCACGCTTTGACTTTACAGCCCTCAGAAAAGAGTCCAAAGTTTCTTTTTATATCGAGTCCTGCGCCGAATTTTAGACAGCGTGTTTCCTGTGTAGGAGGTCCAGTTTGAATCCATATTCTCGGTTTCTTTGCTCGAGGATCGGTCTGAATCTGAAATCGTCGATTTTTAAACGAATGTTTGGAACACAGCATACTGAACCACATCAGGCCTTTTCCTAAACTGCGCCTGCTCCACAGTTATTAACAATAATTAACTGTTAATTAACAGCTGAATTTAAAGCCAGCTGTTAATTAACAGTTAAGGTTGAGGAGTAGTGACGTCATGTGTGAAAAGACAGCATAGCTGTTGTTTTAGCTAAAATATATGTGATATATTTCCCGTAGAATACGAATTCCCTCAGAACAAAACTGTTTATTAACTCCTGCCCTTCGCCTCCTGCACAGCATCACCAGGTTCATAGTTTGAATGGGCAGAAGTTTGTACACTTCTACAATCCTCCTCCTTCTTATCTCCTCCTCCTGCTCCTCTCTCTTCCTCTCCTTCTTTGCCCCACCCCAACCATCCTCCATCCTCCTTCTTTTCCACATCCCTGTTCGTCTTCTTCATGTTCTTCCTTGTCCTCCTCCTCCTCCTTCCTCCTCATCTCTTTTCTTCTTACGTGTCCTCCTGGTGGCCTGTGCAGGTACTGCAAGTCCGTTAGAAACGATGCAGTTCTTACATCATTTTTAAGCTTTATTATGATTTAATCCTACAGGATAAACTCGTAGATGTACCTGACAGATCACGTAATGAAACTGTAGATGAAGAAAAACATGGAAAAGTTTAATTTTGGATTTTTTTTTAAACAGATTTTTAACACATGGTGCTGCTGTTGGTAAATAGATGCTTGAACTTCTCGTGTTTATTTATTTTAATTCATTATTTTATATTTTTCTTTTCCACTTCAGGGAATCTCGGACGGCTCATCCCGGAAACCGACCATGGCGTCCTTGGCGACAGAACGACACGTGTAGAGCTTCTGAGTTCCGATGGGCCCGCAGGTGTTACAGAGCTCTCACCTGAGGCGGCGTGCCCCTGGGTCCCCGCTTGGACCGCGACCGCGCACCGAGACTGCGGTGGCGGCAAATGGCTCATTCTTAAGGATGTTTTTTAAAACTTGTTTTTACGATTAAAGACTTGTTAAACTGAAATGAGAGCGTTCGTTGTTTCTTCCTTTTAGGCCTCAGTGAAAAAACACAGCCTGTATATAAAAGATGGATGTAGTGAGGTGCCAGGAAAGAACCTGGAAAGTTCAGAGCCACACTAACGTGTTTAAATACCAACGTCTGAGCTTTTGTGGATGATCTAAATGTGAAGCACACTCTGACAGCTTGTTGAAACAAAGCACCAGACTCCACTGACAAAAACAGGCATTAAAGCTTTCAGATCACAGGAGTGATGCACTACTGCTGAGTGCTGCTAAGGGATCGGGAGGACATCTCTTATGACGGGTAAACAGGTGAAAATGTTCTAAATATAACCGTTGCAGTTGGTGGGCCGTCATTTGAAGCAAGAAAGGTTTTAAAGCTAACCAATCACAGCAGGAGCAGACAACTCAGTTTATGAGGTAAAACTCTTGTTTTTGTGAATGGAGTCTGGTACGGCTAACACCAGCTGCACTTCTACAGGCAGAGCTGTTTGAATGCAGGTGAAGAGGTGAAAATGTGCAGGTTAAAGGTCAATCTCATCTGCAAAGTGATGAAACAAGGTGATTGTGACGCCACGAAGATGGAAACACTGAGAACGTGCAGCAGCGATGTAACTTCACCAGCAGCGCTCACACAGGGTTACAGTGAGTTATGGTTAGAGTAAGGGGCTACTGTAAATATCAACACTTCCTCAGAGGCTCCGTAGACCATTTAACACTTTATTTCTCTTTCACATTACTTCTAGAAGGGAGATGCGTCCTGCACGACACCACACATGGTGGTTTGATTACAGAAGCTCATTCTAGTCTAAACAACAGAGTCTCAGTAACTTTCCACTACCGATGGTCGCCTCTTATCTACATTTTTCCAGGCAAGTGTGAGCGAGAGTCTGCAGCTTTCTGCTCCCCGAGGACACATGGTCTCAAGCCTTTATTTTCAGGGCTGTGCCCACTTAATACTACACTACATGACTTTATAACACTTATTATTAATAAAAAGCAGAGAATTATTGAGGCACTGCAATTTATTTAATCACAACACTACACAAAGCATTATGTCAATTAGATGTCCCCACTAAGATATGAATACCTGACTGACTGTGTGTGTGTGGAGAGCAGAGATGGGCAGTAACGCGTAATCTGATTACTTTTTCCAAGTAACGAGTAAAGTAAGGGATTACTATTGCAAAAAAGGTAATTAGATTACCATTACTTTCCCGTAAGCACTTTGAGTTTGATTCCATAAAAAGTGACAAAAACATTAGTGTCCGTTGTGCGTGGGAAGAAAACTTCTTTTTACAGCGAAAAAACCCCTAAAC